ATTATTACATAGCAATAAAAACTAATAAACTTATAGGAGGTTATTTTACTAAACATGACTATTCAAACTTGATAAGAAAGAGCAAATAACTTATCCCTGCTATTCTGATGATTGACACTATCCCTTAGCTTAGCTCTCTGGTAGGTGCCATAAGGTTAGAGTTGAGTGAATTTTCCTGTTTGGTTGAAATGTCAAATGAAATCATGATCTACCATGATGGAGTAAGTTTTCCTGTCATATTGAACTTCACTGGGGCACACTGTCTAACCAATGGAAGGGAGCCGGGATGCCGATGATGATAGGTCTAGGAGATAAGTCAGGGGATGCTCATTTTTGTCAAGCTTCACTAAGACAACTACTCCTGCATATAAGGAAGGCCCATCATTTTACTGAGTTAATTACTGATCTAGCTACAAATCTGACAGGTTAAATACCACATTTAACAACTTGGACTTGCCTTTACTGACATATCCATATTTTGGCATACTGCCTTTAGGAGCCTAAGTACTAAATATAAAGTTGTTGAAGTGGCCTTGTGATATAAAAGATTGGGTACAAATGGCAACTTTGTTGCAATCAAGGCTAAAGGAAACAATTTCTCCTACAATTCTTGCCAATAAATGTGAACACTTATGTCATCAACATTTTTCTTATCACTGGCATTAGTAAAACCAAACAGCAATTATCAATTACAGAATTCTAAATGTGCATCTGGCACTGTGCTGTTTCGTATGCAGAATAGTATAGAATGTTCATAGAAATCTTTTTCCAGTTTCCAGGAGAGGAAGGCTGAGGCTCAGAGGGGTTCAAATATATTCCTAAGGTTACATAGCTGGAAAGTGCAGAACCTGGACTGGAACCTAAGTCTTTGCATTCCAAAGTCAGAACTCTTAGTGTTTACTAAGTTATCTTAGAGCTTGCTATAAGCTCTTAGGGTTTACTCTCTTTCCCCATATTTTCATGGAAAATAATGAAAAGCAAAAATAATTTTAAAAATCCTGTTAAGCCATGGAAAGTATGTATGAGAAACAATATGGTAGAAGTATTTTAAATATTCTTTTTTACATCAGACCTTTTCTGTATTTCTTGCATAAGGTGGAATACAAGTAAATTTTAAACTAAGATTCGCCCATTGAGTCAATGATTCAGCAGTGTGAGAACACTGCTGAACATAGTGTGGTTTGTGGCTAAGATTGATATTTAGGCTAAGGTTAAATGGATGGAAATTCACCCAAGGGAGCCTGGGTATTGTGCATAAGATAATAATCAGTGTTGGTTTCTGAGATGGGCAAAGTCACAATGGAGTTAAGTTGACAGATTATCCATAATAGGCACTCTATGGTGAGTGGATCTGTGAGATGAGTCAGCTAAAGAAGACCAAGTACCAAGGAGTGGCTGCAGAAATGTGGTGAATACAATACAGATTTGGATTATAGTATTAATACCTGTATGATTTAGCATGAAGGAGCAAGTGCACATCAATTTAGGAGAAAAAAAAT